AGACAGGTCCTAAAACTGGTCGGTTTTTTGTTTCATCTTCTCTCATCCCATCATGATAGTTTTTAAGTAATCGTGATATGTTAACCATGGATATAGTTAGGAAATGCTTAATGTGTGCCACTACAGATACATTTCTTTACAATACTACCAACATGGCAGTAATATTAATTTAGAATGCACCTTTGGTTTCATCATAGCTCTTTCTTCTCAAACAAAAACCATGCTTTCCTTTTCAGAATGTACCTATATAATTGATATATGATATGCCCTTTCTCATTGGAACGAATCTAAACAAATAAGATGTTATAATTTGTAAACTTATCTCTTCTGATTGCACTTTGGCTCTGCCTTCTATACCTTGATATATTTTTGTCCATTCTTATGAATAATGTGACAAAACAGTGCTTGGGCTGTGGCCATGGTTCAACACATTCCTTGTAAAATTTAGTACATGATTTTGGTTCTGTTCGTTCAATACATATCTTAGAGAACATATAATTTGTGTTGTGAAAGATTATATAAAAGCTGATTTATGTCATGTGAAAATGGGATAAGTGAAGCAAAAGGCAACATGAACTTCAAGCATTATTCCCAGCATCCCTCTAAAAATGATCATGATAGCAGCTRTTATATGTTGGACAAAACAGTGATGGAATGTGCMTGCTGCCTGCTGTTGAAACTAYGTACTATAAAMAAWGAACAAATCACCAATATAACATTGTTCTAAGCTCCTACTTGTCTTAATTAATTAACAAATGCAGATGTAACAGCTGCCATGAACTTTCCTCATCCAGCGGAATAGGTTGATTAAAGAAGATGACCAGGAGGTTGGTGTTGACTCTGATCAACTTCTGTTCAATTGTGCTGAGATCCAAAGTGCAATCTCTGTTGGTATCCCCCTCTCATCCCAATTTCAGATCATTCTTAGTCCACCAAAACAATGAAAGTTAGGGGCCGTTTATCAAACACTTACCCGGTAAGYGSTTACCRGTAAAATTGAACAYTATCATTTACTTATTGAGTAAGATTTTAGTCCACCAAAACAATTTTGTATGCAACAATTTACTCGGTAAGTGCTTACCGTGATAACTGATAAGAGTCATCGCCCTCACCMACCGGGTAAGACTCTTGATCCTTGTCTCGTTCTTACCGGGTAAGATTATTGGTCTTTATCATATTCATGCGTTTACCGTGGTAAGAGTCGTCGCCCTCACTTACAGGGTAGGATTTTTGGTCCTTGTCTCTCTCTTACCGGGTAAGATTATTATTGGTCCTTACCATATTTATGCGGTAAGGTAACGTGACCTGGTGTTCACTTACCCAATTAAGCATTTGGTAAACAGCCCCTTGGACATGTTAAGGTCAGCCTGCTCAAATACATTTTGCTAAAGTTTTGTTATAGTATCAAAGTTTCATTTACCCAGTAGTTTAGCTTGCATGTCCAACAAAAAAGATCAAGAAGTRAGGAAGTGCTTGCTTTTTCACCATATGTGATTAACTCTTGTTATAAATCATTTGATGCAAGTATTATACTGCATGAACAAGCCCATATCCTTGAATCCATGGTTGATGTACATGTTTGGACATCTGTCTTCTCCTTGAATGACAATTAGACTTCAAATACATGAAGGGATGGTCAAGGTCATTCATCTTCATAAGCACTGGATATAAATTATATATTTCTTTAACATATGAGCTTTCCTTATTACCATTGACCATATCAGAAAGTCATCGAGATCAGAAAAAGGCATGGCATGAGGTTAGTTGAATTTTGTTCAAGTGTTCATTTCTTCTCTGTTATGATGCTCATATAGGATGTAAAACAGGATCTGCACATCCTTCTCACTTATAAAGGACAAGCTACTGCCATTTTTTCAAACTACAAAAATCTGACCAAAGATTGTGAAGTAGACACTGTTGAATTGTATCTCTTGATTACAAAAGATTATGAAGTTCTTTGGTTGGCAAGAAAATGCCAAGCAGACGGAACTACAATATACATCCTTACCTGCTATTTAGTAAAGCACATTCTTTAAGAACTGAATTTGAATTTGTTCTTACATCTGATTGAGGTCCCAGTTGTGATTCTGCTATACAGTTCATTTCGAAAAGATATGAATCAGAGTTCGGTAAGTTATCACTTCTGTTATTCTCAGTTGATTGGATTATCATTTGTAAAATTGATTGTATACAATTAACAAGGGTTTTTTTCTAAATATTACACTGCAGTACTTGAAGGCTGTAGCTAAAGGTTTACTGGGACTTCCAGTTGATTAGTTTTTACTTTTATCTTTTGTTGTTGTTGGCAGTTGCATGCTGAAAGAAAAATGAAAATGTATTTTCTATACAATTTGTGAAACTCTTGCAGATATGGATGATAAGATTGAGAAATGGGCATCTATGGCAAGGTGTCATCATTTGCTTACCATGGTAAGAGTCGTTGCCATCACTTACCGGGTAAGACTCCCGGTCCTTGTTTCCCTCTTACCGGGTAAGATTCTTGGTCCTTACCATATTCATCCGGTAAGGTAATGTGACTTGGTAAGTGCTTACCTTGGTAAGCGTTTGGTAAACAACCTAAGTATCTTACGCAGTAAGAGCGACAACAAGGACCGAGAGTCTTACCCGGTAAGTGAGAGTGATGACTTTTACCCTGTAAGTGTTTGCCAGATTATAATATTTCGTACGATGCTGTTTTAATGGACTAAAAGTTTACCCGACAAATGGAAGTGTTCAATCTTACGGTAAGTACTTACCGGGTAGGCATCGTGGGTCGGGTAAACGGCCACTGCTTTGAGTTTGGTCTTCAGTTTCAATTGTTATTATGTTTATTGACTATACATTGAATTTCTTTTCTAGGTGGGATAAAAGTGAAGGTTGATAGGGATGAATCATCTCCCTATGCAGCTATGCTTGCTGCACAAGATGTTTCTAAGCGATGAAAGTGAAGGCTGATAGGGATGAATCATGTTTATTGGTTCCATGTCATCTTATACACACAGAAACAAAATGCTGCAGGTTTAAGAAAACTAAAACATGTTAACTTTTGTTCATGAATACTGTTCACGTGTTTTGCGGTTGAATAGGAAACTTTTGCTCGGATAAAAAACCTACTGCTGTTAATTGGATCGAGGGGTGTGCAAAATATGTTGTTTGCGAAGCAGTCATCACTGAAGAGGTGGTTAAGAAGGTGCTGAAAACCACAGTGCCTGGCCTTGTAGAACTTAACATGCTTAAGAACCTTACTGGTTCAGCTATTGCTGGTTCTCTTGGTGGCTTCAATAACCATGCCGCCAATGTTGTATCTGCAGTCTTTATAACCACTGGTTAGGATCCAGCCCAAAACATCGAGAGTTCTCACTGCATAACTATGATGGAAGCCGTCAATAATGGAAAAGACCTGCACATCTCTGTTACTATGCCTTCAATTGAGGTATTTGTCATTTCCTTATTTCTTCCTTTCTTCATGGTGCTCGTTTTTCATTTCCCATACAAAGGATCACGATGCACCAAGCTTTCTAACGGCCATGGATTGGATAAATTAGACTACTGAGGGTCGTAAAATAAATTAGACTTTGACAAACAAATTTAGTGGTGGCGCATGCCCTTAGTAGATCCACCCAAGTTTGTAATTGTGATCTACAATAGATCGACTAGGCATAAAAGCATACATAACGTGTCTACGGAGGTGCTGGGTGCACTCTCATAAACATCGCCTCCACCTTTGACCGCCATAAGGCGGCCCGTGGGGCCCGCTTGGGGGGTGACAAAAGGGCTGCCCCCTTGCAATCTCTAACTATTTATAACCGTCAATCTCTCGTATAAATATGTAAAACGTGGAATGTGTATGTGTGTGTGTGTATACTCTCAACTTTACAGTGCCTTTAAGATCAAAGTAAACATTTGATTATCCTTGTACTCAGTCTGTGATATCCAAGGCTAATAKGGTCGAATAAGTGTATTTGGAAAGTGGACAATACGCGATCCGATTGGTTTTTATCCAATCGTTTATGATCARAGAACCCTCGACCTCTAACATAGCAGGGGGGTCTTTTCAAAAACAGCCCTTCTCTTCTTAAGGTAGAGGTCACATCTGCGTACATCCCCCAGGCGGGGGCTGGGATGGGATATACTGTAAGATCCACATCGGTTGAGGAGGGGACCTAAGATTTCCTTAGAAGGGACTGGATACCTCCTCTATCAGACGCATTTTAAAACCGTGAGTCCAGGTTACATATACTGGTTTTGTTTGGTTTGGTTATTGGCCATTCCTTGGAGTGAGTTTGTATGTATGCATGTTCCACGTTGGTACAGTGGGAGGAGGGACGCAACTAGCGTCACAATCCGCATGCTTGAACCTGCTTGGAGCAAAGGGTGCAAGTTTGAAGTCACCAGGGTCAAATGCTCGGCTGCTAGCAACTGTAGTGGCTGGTTCGATGTTAGCCGGGGAGCTGTCTTTAATGTCGGCCATAGCAGCAGGTTAGCTGGTAAAGAGCCACATGAAATACAACAGATCAACCAGGGATATGGCAGCAATTGCAGGTTCAAAATCATAGTTATAGATAAGTGAAGCCTCCCTCACTTAATTTTCAAACCTTCATATTGGTCTTTTGTTGGAAATCATTATATTTTGTCTAGGGATATATTGGGATTGTATGGTTTGGCTAGGAAGTTTGACACCGTATTCAGGTCATTTGAAGCTCTTTGAGTTAAACCAACTGCTTCTGACTAAAAACAAGTGGTTTAGTACTATAACTTCCCTAAAATCAGTTTTGAGACTGCARCATTAATTCTCAATTACGGATATGGATCCAAAGTTTCATAAACCAAGTGATCTTATTTAACACCTGTAATATGGATCCAAAGTTTCATAAAGATCCGACAACAATAACTTAACCAAATTTAATTTAAACTCATTTTAGTTACTATAATTCAAAGCTCAAATCAACTATTTATCAGTTTTTAGACGCAAATATAACCAACTTAGAAGCCTTATTTCTAAAATCTGTCTAAAGGACAGGTTTAGTGCTACAAAACAACATCTCGGATAGATACGGTGCTGTCAAATTCACCACTAAATAGACTAAAATCCATATTTTGGATTCAATCTTTATTCCAACAATCAAAATACCATCTAACMATGTTTATATTATTGTTTACAAGATCAATACTCAAGAATTTCACCAAAATAGCCATTAATGAAGAAAATCAAAGTTCAACCTATGTTCTTCATTTTCGAAAGGCAAGCCTTTGTTTCTWTGGTGGAGACATATGGTTACTAAACTGCGGATATCACCTCTATGCACAACAGGTGCTTGCAAATGCAGTTTGTTTTGATTCGATATTCAAAAATCAAGCCAAATTAGGCTCTAGGTCCATATATGTCTAAACGTCGTCCAACGGTCAATCTGGAAGAACCAAGTGATTTTATTTAACACCTGTAATATGGATCCAAAGTTTCATAAAGATTCGACAACAATAACTTAACCAAACTTAATTTAAACTCATTTTAGTTACTATAATTCATAGCTCAAAATCAACTTTTTATCAGTTTTAGACGCAAATATAACCAACTTAGAAGCCTTACTTCTAAAATGTGTCTAAAGGATAGGTTTAGAGCTACATATAGGCTTTCTAAAATGTTCAGAATCGTAGCAATTCGAGCTACGGTTAAAAAGTTATCGCACATTCAAAACAGCAWCTCGGATAGATTCGTTGCTGTCAAATTCACCACTAAATAGGCTAAAATCCATATTTTGGATTCAATCTTTATTCCAACAATCAAAATACCATCTAACCATGTTTATATTATTGTATACAAGATCAATACTCAAGAATTTCACCAAAATCGTCTTTAATGAAGAAAATCAAAGTTCAACCTATGTTCTTCATTTTCGAAAGGCAAGCCTTTGTTTCTATGGTGGAGACATATGGTTACTAAATTGCTAGACTTGCAATCAACATGAAAACATTAACTTGTAGTAGTAGGATGAACAATGTGCAATGGTTGAATATTCGTGGACAGACTTGCATTTTAGCAATCTTTCTCAAACAAAAATGGTTGAGTAAACAATCTTTCTCAAACCCATATGGTTTCTTTTATGTTTTTCAGTGATAGTTCCTCATAATCTATGTGAATTTGAACAAAAGATGATGGTTTAGTAATACCATTTTCAGCTTTTGAGGTATTTTTTGAACTATTATCTTTAATTTCTTGCAATATTTCTCATACCCATGTGGTTTCTTGAACTATTATCTTCATTTTCTTGCAATATTTCTCATACCCAAAATCAGTAGCCTATGCTTTTAAGTGGTCTTTATGTGTTTACACAGAAAACAACAGCCTTTGAACTTTTTGCCTTTCATCATCAAACATGTTTTACATTAAGC